TTAAAAAATATTTATATAGTCTCTTACTTAGTCAGAGCCGATATGACTCAATGCACAGTATGCTATTCAATGGGATCCTAGGAAATCGACATTTAGGAGTAGAATACCTTTTCCACGGGCGCTCCTTAGTCCGTGGTTATCTTGCCTATCCTTAGTCCATGCTCACCGGGTGTGTCGAAAAGAATGCGCAAGAAGTGCCATTCGCCAAACGGAACAGCTTTGTTTTCGTTCGCTTTGATTCATCCGACAGAGATTACGTGGAGGATTGTCGTAACCTTCTTGGAGGATTGGATCGGAGTGTTGAGGCATTGCACGATCTTTAAGTACCTGTCGAATTCGAAGGATCTCATCTAGCAGGTATGACGATCTATTCTGAGATGATCTAGAACTGGATCTACATCCTTAAGCTATGGTCATACGTACTGTTTGTGTAGGTACTGTACAGTTCAGAATCATTAAATCTATTAGCGATGAACTTTGTTATCGCGTTACCTGTACAGGGAATGGCTGGATTAACTTCACCTTGGAGAGAATCTCTTCCTGCATTAGCAAACGTTATGGAAGATAAATGCCTGCCAGCTGTGGTCTGGAATCGCGTAATAATATTAACGTGTAAAAAAATCAATCTGATCTCCAGAATTGACCTCGAGCGATCTTCGTTACTGCCACGTCCTTGACCCAAGCGATCGAATGCTCGTGAATCATAAACCCTAAAACGTACGTTTAAATGGTACCTGGTTCTTAGTGGTCTTTATCATTTTTTTATTTTTTTATTTTTTTTTGAAATACTTCAACGAGCCAACCGCAGGGCAGCTCGTGCCTAGTTATAAAATTAGCGACCCACCCACGCGTTTCAAGGATCGCGATCGCGTAACTCGTGGACCTGTTTGAGAGAAGAAAAAAAAAGGTAGCTCCTATGGAAAGGCATGAATGAAAAAAAGTATTTAAAACGAATTTTGTAGCAGCCTCCGGGCTTTAGGATTTAGATAGGATAAACACGCGGTTTATTATTGCACGTACTTACGAGAGCTAGCATTGTGATTATTGTGATTACAAATGATTTTTGAATCGCACTGTAACCTCGTACTGTCATTAATAATTCATCGAGTGCCATGATAATATGTTTTTTCAAAATATTAAGCCTAATCGATGCTCTTTCCTTATTACGTTATTATCGATATCTTCACGTGTCTCTCGAACGTTTCCTCTTACTTGGCTACATTATGTAACTCACGTAAACAATGGCACTACCAATCCTCGATGTGGTTCCTTGTACGCTTTACGTAAGTGTAATTAATTAATAATTATAATTAGAGAAACTTTGCGCGAGATTTTATTGGGATTCCTGACCCTCGGGTTACCGTGGCCATTTTACACTCGGAACTTGACTGTTCTACCGGTTCCTTTTACCTTTCCTGACGGCCCATGAATTTCTTTGGTAGCTACCTAAATTATTTGAATTACGAAACCACTCAGCAGTGTTATAAGCATCGTGCATTACGTTGTAAGTCGTAAAAGATATATACAAACCTAAGTCACATATATATATATGAATAAATTGTCCACAGTAACTGAAAATTGGCTATGAATTACATTTCTAGATTCATTGATACAATTTACCACGTGTAAATAGACCCGCGTACCAAGTTGCGATGCGAGGAAAAACTTTTCTATTCAATGAATGAATCCAATGGACCAGAAACAAAGAAACAGAGACACTCGTCACTGTCGTCACTAAAAACAAATTAGAATTGCTAATATTGTAGTAGGTGTTCAGGAAGTGCCAAGTCTTTGACAGTGTATTGTCTCTATCCATTATGCTCAATCGTACGGAAGGGGTGGGCAAGGTTAAGAATTCGAATTACAATTATTTTTTAAATCCTGTCTACGGCAGGAGTGAGGCAGCACGGATGAAAAAAAAAGTAGAATAAAAAAAAAGTAAAATACTATTCATAAATATCCATTGTAACCAAATGTCCACAGAATTCCACGTGTTAAATTTGCTCGTGTAAACGTCACCGGGACCGATCAGCTGTCAGTCAGTCGCGCTGTCCCTGTTTAAAGTTAACTTGTCGATAAAACGTAAATACAAAGCAAGTTCACGAGTCACGTCACAATGAAAACGATCGATCCCTGCCGATCAAGATCTGTACCTGACAGTGCATAATGACTGGCAGCATCTTCAACCGGCTAATCAACCGGCATAATCACAATATCTAAATACCTAGTTACCGTGACGTATAATGAATTAGCAGTGGCGTATTTAATGGTAAAAAAATATTCTTAGGTAACTATTACCGATCACAACAAAATCGTTTAGAAATCTTCGAGCATAATGCGATTCCCTATTAGATTCAGCTTAGCCCGAGATTTATGAGCGTACCGATTGGAATAATTGCTTGTCCCACGTTGAATCGACTCGATCGAGAGACTCTGGATGGAGATAGAAAAAATGAAGGAGCAAGTATTATTTTTTCACTCCTATTTTGAACATATATATATATATATATATATATATATATATATATATATAACCACTTTAAACAAACTTACCGAGTCACCGTATTACGTTATACCATGCTGTGTATATACTGTAGTGATAGATATAACTGGATTACGCGAGATCATCAATACGTGAATGATCATAGCAAGAGTATCGCGCCTAGTCGAACGGATAATTTCCTCTTTGATGACGTGGCTGGCAAATCGCCGTAACATTAGTCATTAGGATTCTACCACGTTGCTGACGAAACCTTTCAATTTCTCCGCCATACGTGATTATACAATTGACCGACCGAAGAGAATCGCAACAATCCTCCCAACTAGGGAGATCCTGCTGATCTTTTTTTTTTCTCTAACCCACGGAATGTTGCGAATCACAATTTCGACATGGGGAACCTGAGATACATAATTCTAGTGCCTGTGTTCGAATCGATAAAAGAATTCACCAGTCATACCGAAACCCATTCGAATCTCATCTCTTGCAACATGCTTTAAGATCGTATGCAGCGCGTTGCGTTTCAGCATGAGAAAAGAAGCATTACTCAGCTGAAGTGATCACGATCGTGAATCGGTTAGATATTGTATGGCAAACTTACCGATTTCTTGCATGCATATATATATATATATTTACATGAATATCAGTGAAGGCAGAACTATATCTTATTATAAATACTAACAACGATATAAAATAATCTTGAAAATTGAGTAGACGATCCGGATGACCGCGATTTTCAAAATTAATTTCATCCCGAAGCTATCTTATTACCGATGACTATTTTATTATTTTGTATCATCTTAAATCTCATATTCATCTAGCTGCTACGAGATTCCAGGGTACGCCTTGTCAGGATGATGATTATTAGTATTATAATTTTTGTTTCTTCTTTATCTTAAGATCGCTGTACTTTGCTATAGATAATGGCAATAGGGTAACAGACAGTCTTTGTACCAATCCTTACAATCCAACGTGTTCGCAAGAAAGTGCTATCTAATTATTGTACGATCTCCGCGTGGTATTTTGTTGATAATATAAGACTGTACTGAGTCAAGTTATCGCGGTTAGGATATACCGTTTGCTATAGTACATTCGTTGGATGGTTGCAAACAAAGAGCTGGCATTTGAATGCCAGGAGATCGACCGCGAGAATAATAGGTGCCCTAACACACGTTCTCCGGGATTCTGAGTCTCCCAGGATAGTACGCTGAGAAATAATCCGTGCCCGCGGATGCTGGGATGAATCTGATTGTAAAAGAGTAAAGACGAAAAGGTATAGGGAACTCTTGGGAATTTCATTTATTCGACGATTCATTAAATATCTGAATGAAGTGGACCATTGGCTTTATTTGGTATCGTGGTATGATTGTTATTATTTATCTAAATCGAATTCCAATAATCTTCTTAGCTATCGATCAATTGTCTCATATCTATCGGTAGGACAAACCCAAGATCATCGTGGGAGTTGGCTCGTGCGTCCAGAAAAACTCTTAGCAATTCCTTCGGAGAAAGTCGTAGTTATAAAGCAGGGTCAATGGCCATTCTCATCTTTCGGAAATACCACCGAGTTCCAGTTTTTCGATGCTGCGGATCGGCTTCTTCTCGTCGAATGGCGAATTAGGATCTTCCGATACGGCCGTACATCTTGTGTTCGACTCTTTAACGTTCTTACGCAATTCTCACAGGAAATGTACGAGGGCTTACTATCGAAAGATTTGGTCCATTTGTCGAAGCGTGGGTGGAATGATATACGGCCAAGAGTTCAAAAAGAAACTTCGACTCTTATATGGATGTAAGATGTCCGAAGAGTAGTATAGCTTTTTATTATACGTGCTATTCTTATGGACGTTGTATCCGATGCACCACGGATAAAAGTCGTTTATTAATTGACTTTCGTGAAAAGTATTTTACATATGCGTATATCTATAGTCGGAGTCATATATTACTGGGATGCTATATTCGAAGGAACGCGTGGCTGGGAGTCTATGAACGTAACTTTTCAAATTGCTTTGGAATGCGGTCTTGACATATTCATTCGCGTGGTGGCCAGAATCTTACTGTTACGTCGGCCAATATTTAATAATTGGATATCTTCGCGAAATATTAGCAGATTTTGGAATTTTTTGTGATATTTAGCAACTTACATTAATTTTATTTATTTTTGTGTATATATATGTATACTATGGTGGGTGATGAGCTTAAGAGAAAAAATTATTGACTGGATAATTATAGGCAAGGTCAGGATTTTCTTGAGAGAAATATCGAATGCTACACGTTCCCACGATGGGTGATGATTAATTATTTATTGTTAATACGAGCTCGTATGATGCCCATTGAAACAGTCCGAGGACACAGTTATTATATGAGTATGATTCATGGACTCGGAAAATAGATGTGATTGATAGTTTTTTTAATTGTTTTTAAATTGGTTGGCATTACTCATATAAGATCAAATAAATGGATTTTTGCATATTAATGGGATTTTAATCCATGCATGTTGCAGGTATAAGACCGAGTAGCCACTTTTTATACAAACTAGGAATGCAACGCGATGCCACGAGTGTAAATGGATGCACAACGTCTTTCTGCTTTAGCTTTCTTCTTCACGTGTGTCACTGTTATTCGTCGTACGTTTATACAAGTACTTACGTAAGGTGAGAGGTTTCCCGATTGACCTATGACCCAGGAGGTACATTGCTACCGATCACGTTCCCTTCTGGATTGAAATACGACTAGGTATTTGCCACTCGTGTGCTCAATAAGAACAGGATGGGAGCTTGTATGGATCTATAGATAGCTTATGAAACTGGAGAATATTAATTTTGTCAATTTAATTGATATTAAATTTATTTTTTAAACGGTGATTTTTTCATTCGTTGATATCTTCGTCCTATAATTTTTTAACCGAATTTGTGTGATTGTTAGTATTGTATTGTTTAATTATTGTCAGTATAGACATGGTGGCTCCATACGAACTTTGAATTAACTGTATCGTAAATCGACTCCGCTTTACTCTATGGGTAATGAAATCTATATGATTGATTCATTGGATAAATTACCGACGGTGCTGAATGGTTAGGACCTCAGCATTCAGTACCATCTAGATCTGGTAAACCGCAGAAACCTTTGGAGCCTTCAACAGTTATCGTTGGTTGACTAAAAAGCTACGTGGTTCTCAATTCACGTATAAAAGGTATTTTTGAAAATTTGGGTATTTACTACAGAGATGAGTAGGGAGATGCACAACACTACGGTTTTAGGCTATACCGAAAGCATGGTGCTGAATCCCAGCGGCGAGTCCGGAAGTAGAGTTATGTGATCATAGCCTCCGTCGATA